AACAAAAACAATAATAAATTGGTCATTTTCAATCTACGACTGTTTGTGGGACATTGCTGTGCGCAATTGGCTGCCGCGTTCGCCCACAAATATACAGTCAATTCACTTTACAGTGTGTTCTGTGAAGCGCTTTGGGACGTCCTCCCGACGTGAAAAGCGCTATATCAAATGCAAGGATTATTATTATTATTATTATTATTATCCTCGTCCAACTCCACCGGCTTCCTATCACACAGAGGATACAGTTCAAGATCCTGGTCCTCACTTTCAAAGCCCTCCATGTTCTTACTCCCCCTATCTCTGCGATCTCCTAACCCTCTATCAACCTGCCCGCTCCCTTCGCCCAGGGGGCTCCGGCCTGCTTCACATCCGCTGCCTCGCCCACCCAACCATTGGTGGGCGGACCTTCAGCCACTCTCCCCCACCCTCTGGAACTCCAGGCTGCAGTCCCTCCGCCTCACTTCCTCCCTTGCCTCCTTCGAGGCTCTTCTCTTCGACTGTGCCTTCGATCACTCTCCTTACCCCCTGTCCTCCACCCTCTCCGATCTCGACCTCCAGCTCGGTTCCAAAACACTGATTGTCCAGCGCATTGGGATGTCCTCCCGGCGTGAAAAGCGCTATACAAATATAATTTTGGTGTTCTTGTTGTTGTAGACTCAGACAGTTGGCATCTTTGTATTTTATTATTTGGTTCAGTTACTGTGTATGCTTTTGTAGCTCAGTCTCTCCCCTGTAATTCTGCTTTATATTTGAGAAAGAGTTGAGTGATATTCTACTGGTGTGATATAGGAAATGCAATGTAAACAATTCCGATTCCATATTAGTGATATGCCACATCAAACGCATTCCATACATGGTTGAGTTGGTGGATGAGCACATGATGTGTCTTGTTCTACTTTTGTATTTCTGTGATGCAATACGTATTTAAAATTATAGTGTACAGCATTAATTTGTCAAATTATTTAAATACACTCTGGTTAGGAAGTGTAACTCATTGGTGCAGTAATGTATTGCTTCAGGATGATGAGGTTTGACTCAATGCTCATGCTTCGGTGTCACCCTGGTTCACATAGTAGCGCTCTAGCCTGAGTCAGAAGGTTGTAGGTTCAAGCCTAATGTGTAGACTGATGCTCCAATACAGAACTGGGTTGTCCTGCATTGTTGGAGATGCCTCTCTTCATATGAGGCATTAAACCAAGGCCCTGTCTGCCTGTTCATGTTGATGTTAAAGATCTCTTGGCACTATTTGAAAAGAGAAGGGACTTTTTCCCGGTGGAGAACTACTTGGCCAACATTTCTCCAGATATAATTGGTCACTTATATTGCTGTACTCAAACTGGCTATTGCCTTTGCCTAGAAAATGCACACTTACTTATTGTGTGAAACGTTTTGAGATGTCTTTCTGCTGTGAAAGATACAATACCAAATGCAAGGATCATTATTATTAGTTATGATTCTCCCGTTCCATTCCCAGGTGCAAGGCCTGGGTGGAGGATGAAATACTCCACACTGCTTTCTCACACTTATCGAGCAGGCAGGTTACTGTTATCATTGACCTGGGTATGAACATCAGTCATTTCCTTCTTTTGCCCCATCTCCCTTAACCAAAAAGTAATTCATTTCTGAAATAAAAGAGAAAAAGCAGTTGTGAAGTAGTTTTATGTTTACAGCTTGATAAATGATGAAACCACAAACCCCGCATTACAATTTAAATGCTTTGTTTAACATTTCTCTCCCACTAATCCTCTCCCAGCTCCTGCAGTCTCTGCTCTCCACCTTGAAGTACTGGGGAACATTGTTTGTGCAGTCTGTCTGCATTCAACCACTAAGATACTGATAGATATCTTAATGGTATCTATCGAAATTGATAGATTTCTTGTAGATAAAGGGATTAAGGGATATGGGGATAAGGCGAGTAGGTGGAGTTAGAATAGATCAGCCATGATCCTATTGAATGGCGGGACAGGCTAGAGGGGCCGAATGGCCTACTCCTGCTCCTAATTCTTATGTTCTGATGTTCTCTTGTGTAATGGTCTTCAGTCAAATGGGTTTGAGCTGTCTGAACCCAGTGAACCAACAGCACAGATTGTAATTAAACACTAAAATATGTAATCTCCCCTAGTGCTCTAAACTGTTGGGAATGAAAATAAGGGGTGCACTTCAGAAAATAAGATGTTAGCAGATCATAAACAGAGAAGAGGCATTTGTCCTGCACATAATGATGCTAACATCTCATGCCAAAAGCAGAATATTGTTTTTCTGAAGCAGTGAATTCTCCTGTTTTTATTCATGTGGAAATTCCCCCACAAAGAGAGTACAGACAACTACTTATGCAACCACTTTCTTCCATGAGTCTACACAGAACACAAGTTATGGAAAGAGCAATCGGCCAGATTTATCATCCTGGTCCCAAATACACCCACTCTCAAATGTATTAAGTGAGCTAAAAATATATGATTTTGTCATAACTATTTGCAACAATTGTGAAGAACGAACACATAACACAAAAGTTTCCATTTATTTAGCAGCCTTCATATGGTTAGCATCTTGGGGCGCTTAAATATAAACAGTATATAAGTGGTAGCAGTGTTTTGTCATGATAAATCGCTCTGTGACTTGGAGTTGCCTTTCTATTGTATTAGGAACATAGGAAATGCTAGACGAAAAAAAACCAAGGTCCATTCAGTTTGCCTTCCACTATCTTGCCAGTTGCATGCAAGTGTCATGTCCTGAACTAATCATATACTGTACCCAGAATATTATTTCCTAAAATAAATCTATCTAATTTGCCTTTGAAAGAATCAACACTTTCTGCTTCAACCGTCTCCCTAGTATTGAACTGGGGTGTGTGTATTGACTACTGTCTGACCACTCCCTTTGACAGAACTACTAGGACCCCCAGGTTCCTGCTTTATTTTCCTCCTGAGATATTGATCCCTTTTGTGAGCCCACATGTAAGCAATTGTCTTTACAAAAAAAAGGTATCTTCAGATTTAGCTAACTTACCAGTCACTTGATAAATATAACTTCACTTTGTGGTCACTATTCTGTTTCTCTTAAAACAAAACTCAGTCCGTTCTCCCAGTGCTCAATAAATGCTTTAAGTCAAGTGTCAAATACTGAAAATGGTTTTACATGTCTCTGACTAAAATGATTGAAAATATTCATTATATAAGGTAGAACTTATTGACGATTTTGTAAAGATTTAGAATTTAGCATTGAATTGCTGCAGATCTGGTGCTAGGCAAGTTTTGCTGGTGATTGGTCTTGGATATGAAATATTATGGAAGCAATAGTCAATAAATACCAGAGTTGTAATAAAGTGAATTCCTGATTCTGATCGTGGTATCAGACAAGTTAATGGACTGAGATGAAGCAATTAATAATAATAATAATCCTTGCATTTGATATAGCGCCTTATCACGTCATTGAGATGTCTCAAAGCGCTTCACAGAATATACTGTAAAGTATATATAACGGAATATACTGTATAAAGAATATACTGACTGTCTATTTTGTGGGCATAATGCGGCAGCAAATTGCGCACAGCAGTGTCCCACAAACAGTCATGGACTCAGTGACCACATTTTAAAAAAATAACCAGATTTATCTGGCTGGGGGATTGTCGGGCAAGGACAGTGGGAGAGAGAGAAACGTGAAGCGAGATGAGGAATACAGAGCGTTTCACCCTCAACTGCTGTGTCCATTTCTTTTACCTAAAAAATATTGTTGTTGATGCGATTTCTTTGTGGAAATAAAAAAATGGAAGAAGCGAGGTGCAGTGACAGGGCGGGCCAGGCTTTGAGAAAAAGAAACCAGAGGTTTCTCAGTATTAATTCTTTATCTCCTCACACCTCCAAGCTGCGTCACTGCATCACGTATTCAGGATCAATGAGATCATCACAATAATAATCATAATTTTTTTTCTCTCCCACAAGTAAATTTGGCTATGAATATTTACTTGTGGGAGAGTGACTGTCTCCTCCCTGCTAAAGTATAGTGTTTTCATTGGTCCACTTTCAAAACTGATGGGAGAGGGAGTCTTATGGATAAGACAGTACAGTCCTAGATTTCTTGTTCAATTGCAGACAACTATTTTGTGTGTGTGTGTTGTGTGTGAGTGACTGAGAGAGGTGGGGATGGGGGGGGGGGGGGGGGGGGGTTAAAAGGGGAAGGAAAAAAATCTTAAAGCAACAAATTATGTATGAATAACTTATCTTTTGAAACAGGGCAGAAGCTTGGCTTTTTGTATAGTGAGACTTTGTTTGGTGCAAGGATTGACTTCTACCGATAAATCATATGCTCTGCACAATAAATTTCATGCAGCAGAATCGCTACAGTTTGTGGTTCTGTTTATAAACTTTCTTGTTTTACTGATAAAGTACAGCTGCAGTTGAAAAGCACACAAGACATGCAAAATGTACTTGAGGTATGACATTGTGCAGCAGTAACCGTACATTGTTATTACAGCTTGGAGGAATCATCGTTCGCGACGATTGCCTAGCCTTTGCTCATTGCATTTTCATCTGGGGTTGCTTCTTGCATGTATTATTGGCATGAGGTTAATCCAAATAGTTTTCATACGTGTCTGAGCTGATGTTCATACTGAAACAGTTCAAATGCAAGCATATTTTCATCTGTGCAGACATAAAGGGGTGAACTGCAGTAATTACTGCCATATTTTGTAACCAAAGATAAATTACATGTTTAGAGGCTTAATATACAATTAAGGATTCAGACATCTTTCCCTCTGGTATGTTTTGATTTTCACATTGATGGCTGCCATGTATTTGAATTCCCAGTCATACTTTAGATCCACCCTCCCAGAAGCAAAGGGCTGTACATTGGCACTGTACCATTTCTGTCCTGTTCATTTTAATACTTTTGATTTACAATGTTCGGTGACTTCCTATGAAATGTACCTTGTGTTTTACAATGTGGTTATTTGAGGGAATATGATAGTTTGTTCTTATTAATGATGAGAGATTATTTATCTGCAGATGAAGGACGCCATTCTGGTCCGAATGACTCTATTGGGCCCATGGGAGATCAGCAAGGTGCTATGCCTACAGCTAAAGGTAATTTTTGCCTAGGTTTTTCTTAAAGGGTTGGGTGTATTTTTCTCTCAAGGGGATAAGTTTGCTAATTTGCTTAGTGTAGGTTCTTCCTGCAACATGTTGGTATGAGGGACACCACTGTGGGGATGTTCATGTGCTGCATAGGTCAGGAGCTTGTTAAAGCACCTCCTACACCTTAGAAACAGAGCACGTATTAGTAAATGAGCAAATGGGAAAGTTAGGAGAATTTTGTTTTTCACACAGTCGTATGAAATGCCCTGCCAGGAGCAGTGGTCAAGGCAGAATCTACATTAGCTTTCAAAAGCGAACTAGATAAATACCTTAAAAGAGACACCTACATGGATATGGGGAAAGAGCAGGAAAATGAGATTGAAAGGATTGCTCTTGAGGGAGCTGGCACAGTCAGGCGGCCTTCTTCCGTGCCATCAATTTCTATAGTTCTATATAAGCTACATGACAACAGTGACAACTTCAGAATCAAAAAAGCATCAAAAAAGTTCTGTTTGAAACGATAGTTCCACTGGAATGTCAGCCTACACTGTGAGGTGACTACCTCATCTGCAGCTCCCTAGCAAACATGAGGAATCTCCTCTTCAGCAAGGGTAACATATTAGTCATGAACTGCCTCAAATCAAACCACAAAGAGTTGCATAAATGAATTGTCATTGAGCTGGCATGAAGTTCCAGTTATGTTGGTCAATCTAAAAAGTCTGAGTGAAAATCAGAGTGAAAATAAAATATCTTGCTATCGCCAGGGATTTATCCTGTCGGGTTTTACTCAGCATGTGTGCCCCTTTTAAGTACATCAGTCAGTACATCTTGGAACATCTTTTCTTGTTCTGGGACCTTCTCTGATTGGGGAGTATCTGCTGCCTCCCACGTCGCTTGAATCCAGCACAATAAGCAGACCAGGTTTCAATAGATCTTGCTTTGGAGGTTGAATTTCTTTCTTGACCCTTTAAAAGATTATAAATACAGAATTTGAGGTAGGGGGGATGTAAGCAACTGATTTCAGTCATCCATATAGCCACGACTAGCATTGTAGGGTGCACTTCAGTTGGATTCCAATCCCACCCACGTAGCATGGTGCTGCTTCTAAATTGGAATTAGATCTGGTTTTACATTATCATATCTATCATTAAAAAAGTTAGTCCTGATTATAAAGACTCCATCCATTTTCCAGATGCCTCAGTTGCTAACTCTGCTTCCTGTTGTGAACAGGATATGTACAGCTCAAAAAGTTCCAGGTTTGATCCTGGTTTTGCCATTAAAAAGCCCTCCACACCTTGCTCCTCCTTGCCTCTGTGACCTGCTAACTGCCAAGTAGACCTATCCGCTCCCTCTGCTCTATGGTCTCCGACATCTCTGCCCCCACCCATGGAACTCCATCCCACAGTCTCTTCACCTCCATTGCCTCCTTGAAGGTCTGTCTGAAAACTCTACTCTTCGACCATGCCTTCAGTCACCCAGGAGGTCACACCCACCCTCACTGCGCTCTACCCCTCCTTATCCCAATCCCAACTGGGATCCAAATCCCTGACTGTCCAGCACCTTGGGACGTCCTCCTGACCTGAAATGGGCTATACAAATGTAATTTGATGTTGTTGATTTCTACTGCAGTGGAAATAATTATCCAGCGTCAGTACTCCCAGGCTAAGGAGAGAGGGAAATTAACCAATATTCCACCTTTTGGTTAGAGCCCTGCTGTGCTTGACAGACTCTACATCTCATATGAAGGAAGGAAAGTGAGTGAATGTAGACCCGTCCTCACCTATTTCGCTTCCACCTTCCACCCCTCCATAACATTCACATGGTCCATCTCCGATCCTTCCCTTCCTCGACCTCACCATTTCCATCTCGGGGCGTAGATTATCAGCAAATATTTACAAGCCCAACAACTCCCACAGTTACCTGGACTATACCTCCTCCCACCCCAACTCCTGTAAAGACTCCATTCCCTATTCCCAGTTCCTCCGCCTCCGCCACATCTGCTCTGACGATTCCACCTTTCACACCAGAGCAGCTGAAATGTCTTCCTTTTTCCTCGACCGAGGATTCCCATACACTGTAGAAGGCAGGGCCCTTGACCGTGTCTGCCCTATTTCCCGCACCTCTGCCCTCACCCCTTCCCCCTCTTCCCAGAACCATGATAGGGTCCCCCTAGTCCTCACCTTCCACCCCACCAGCCTCAACATCCAACAAATAATTCTGCAGCATTTCCGGTATCTCCAGCGTGATCCAACTACCAAACATATCTTTCCCTCCCCTCTCAGCATTCCGAAGGGACCGTTCCCTCCGTGACTCCCTGGTTTGTTCCTCCATTACCACCAACAGTTGCTCTCCTCTCCCCAGTACTTTTCCACGCTACTGCAGGAGATGTAGTACCTGCCCTTTCACCTCCTCCCAAACCACTGTCCAGGGCCCCAAACACAGTTTTCAATTGAGACATTGATTTACGTGCACAATCACCAATGTAGTTTACTGTGTTCGCTGCTCACGATGTGGTCTCTTCACTGGGAAGATGAGATGCAGATTGGGTGACAGATTTGCCGAACACCTCCGTTCTGTCCGCAAGCACAACCCTGAGCTTCCGGTTTCTTGCCACTTCAATTCTCTCTCCCACTTGCACACTGACCTCTCCATCCAGTCTCCTAAGCTGTTCCAATGAGCCACAGCGCAAGCTCGAGGAACAGCACCTCATTTATCTGCTAGGGACCTTACAGCCCTCTGGCCTCAATATTGATTTCAACAAATTCAGACCATAACAGCTCAGCTTCTCCCTCCCCCTTTTCTGTGACCATTACCACATCATCTGGGTCCCAGACACACCTCTCTCTGGTCTGTCTATTTTGTTGCAGTCCCCCCCCACACCCTGTTTTATATTATTAACACCTCTATTCCCCTGTTGTGTTGCATTCCCCCCCACCCCACTTTGTTTCGCATCATTAACACCCATTTAACCCATCATACCCTGTCCTCTACCCCATTTTCTCCTTTGTCTTCCTTGCCCTGCCTCCCCCCTCTCTGTTAGCCCTTAAAAGCCTCTCCCTCCCAACATGCCCCAGTTCTGACGAAGGTTCGAGGACCCAAAACGTTGACTCACTTTCCTTTCTCCATAGATGCTGCCTGACCTGCTGAGTGTTCCCAGTGACTTCTGTTTTTGTTCTACGTCTCGTATGTCTTGGGATCGGGTGTGTCAAGAGCTAAAGTGTGCATGCGTGGGTTCACCACACTTCTATGTTTGATGTCTGGGCTTTTGCACTTTGTGTTGTGTGTGTGTGTGCTGGTTAGTCAGTGTTTCTCAGAATTCAATGTACTTTTTGGTTAAAAAGTATTTAAGGAACGGCAATTATATTAATCCCTTTTGACTCCCAGCGAAGACACTAAATGCTTGTCTGCAGGCGTAACCACAAACCTCTCATTGTTCAAGTAGCACATTGTATTTTCAGTTTAATTAGAACAATGGACAACAAAAACATAACAGCTCTCCTAACCCTTTTCTCAAACATTTTGCGATAAACTATTTGCTGAATTCTTACTCATAGTAGATATTTAAGCATGAATTTTATTTGATTAAACAATATTAAGTGCAACATTTATTTTTCTATAGCACCTCTCACAACAACAACAAATTGAATTTACATAGTGCCTTTCACTTCGGGAAGACATCTCAAGATAATGGACAGTTATGGGTTTGAGTCAGAAGTAGTCCCAAAGTGCTTCACACTAATGCCTTGGGTGGCAGTTGAAGAAGGTGGGAAGTGGAAAGATGACCAAGAGCACAGTGAAAGAGGCAAGTTTTGAGATGGCTTTGAATGTGGTAAGCGGGTGAGCGTGTTAGAGGGTTTTGGGAATGAAGTTCCAGAGAGCAGGGGCTGAAAGCTCGCCCACCGATGGTAGGGCAGATAAGGCGGGCAAGCAGTTGCAGGCAGTAAGCATTGAAGAGCAGACAGATCCAGAATCATTTGCTTTACCTAATGAATTATTGACCACATTGACCAACCAGTTAACACTATAGTTGTAAAACAATCGCTGGGAATGCTCAGCAGGTCAGGCAGCATCTATAGAGAAAGGAAAGTGAGTCAACATTTTGGGTCCACAACCTTTCGTCAGAACAGATTCGCTCCCTCCGCTTCGCAGACACTGGTCTGCTTCAGGTCACCCTCACTTCCCTCCCAACATTGGGGGTCGGGCATTCAGCATCTCTGCCCCCACACTCTGGAACTCTGTTCTGCAATCTCTTTGCCTCACCCCCTCTCTTGCCTCTTTCAAGTTCCATCTGAAGATCTGAAGACCTTCCTCTTTGACTGTGCCTTCGGGCACCCTCCCACTCTCAGCCCTCCTTCCCTCCTCTGCTTCTGACCCCAACTCCCAGCTCGAGTCCAAAACCTCTGATTGTCCAGCGCACTGGGATATCTTTCCGACGTGAAGGCCGCTATACAAGTGTAATTTGTTGTTGTTGTCAATGCTGCCGTTATGTGTACACATTCCTGCTCACTCAGGCAGTGATTTTCATTCCGATGGTGCTGGGCTCTCTGGCTACTCCTGAAACTTGGGAAGTGCCATCATATCCCCATGGGCACGGCGTGTGCTGTGCCATGCTTTTGTTTCTGCACGCTTAGTGATTGTGATGGTTGGCTGCAGCCCAGAAGAAGCAGGAACATTGGCATGTGAAGCTGGTGCCAGCTGGCCAGCACATGTTCTGCTCTGAATCGGGTTGTGCTGGTAGGCGAGCGGATTGTGCTGTTTGGCAGGCGGATTGTGCTGGTAGGCAAACGTAAACCAAGGCATTGATGCGTGGCGGTTCCTGGAGTGTTTTACCTTCTCATGTTACACTGGAGCCTCCTATCTGAAAGTGCTTAAGCACTGCTCTGTCACGCCACCATTAGTGGATCGATCTTGGTGGAAGAAATAGCGTGGGATCAGAAGATCTACATGGGGCCTGTTTGTTGAAATATTCACAACTGAAGGGGGTGTCAAATGCACTGTAAAAGTGAAAG